ATCGCCGGAAGGGGATGTGGCCCCCGGGCCAGCGAGGGTGCAGGCCCAGGGGAGCCCGTGCGACCGCGGCCACGCGAGTGCAGCCGGCCCGGGATGGCGCTGGGGGCGGGGGACCCCGAGCGCTCGGTTTCCGCTCTCCCCAAGTCTCCCTACCAGAGGCTAAGTCAGAGGATGCAGGACATCTCCGGGGACCGCGGCGTGCTGAAGGATGTCCTCCGGGAGGGCACAGGGGACCTGGTGGCGCCCGACTCCTCCGTCTTAGGTGGGCCTGGGCGCGGCGGAGAGCGTGCAGTTTGAGGGGCGGTTGGGGGGAAACCCATCACCAACCCTCTATGGCCGCGGTCGTCCACCGTCTTCCTGCTGCGACCCTTTCATACAGCTCCTCCTGTGGTGACCGCCCCCACCCACCCAGGAAACTATTTTCGTTGCTACTTTATCATTGCCATTTTGCTGCTGGGATGAATCAGGAAAGGGTTGTTCGGGACCCCACGGGTTGAGAACTGCAGCTCTGTGGTAATTTATAGGATAGCAAGCGCTTGGTTTGAATTTGGGTTTTAGGAGAAAAACCAGGGCCCCCTTTTACCCTGGACCTGAGGCCACCCTGCCCAGGGCAAGCTCCAAGCGGCTGGCCAAGCCCTGTACCCCTGAGCCCCAAATGGGGCAGGCCTCCCAAAATGCTGAGGAAGGATCATTCCTGTACCACAGGGCATGGGGTCATTGAAAGGCAACTCATGGGGGCGGGGGCGCCGGTGAGGTAGTGGGTGTAGGAGTGTGTGTGTGAGAGAGAGAATATCAAGGAAATGTGATTTGAGAGACCCGGGGGTCTCTAATGGCCTTTCTTTGCTCTGAGTGGGTCTCCTCTTTCCTAGTGAAATATTCCGGCTATCTGGAGCACATGGACAAGCCTTTTGATTCTAATTACTTTCGGAAAACTCCTCGCCTCATGAAGCTGGGAGAGGGTAAGTTCAGAACCCCCCACTGCCATGAGCCAACTGAAGATGAGATACTGACGGGAGCAGCAGCCTTGTCTCTCGAGTCGCTGCTGGTAGGTTTGAACTGCCGACCTTGTGTTTAGCAGCCCAGCACTATGCCATCCCCCCTTCCCCAAACCCATGGCCTTCCAGGCCTTTCTGACTCAGAGCGAGCCTCTAGGACGGGGTAGAACTGCCCTGGTGAGTTTCTGAGATTGTAGCACACACACACACACCCTTTTTTAAAAAGACTATTTACGAGAGTAGAAAGTCTCATCGTTTCTCGATGAACGGCTGGTGGTTTTGAACTGCTGACCTTGTGGTTAACAGCCCAATGGGTAACTACGGTGGCATGAGAGTAACTCTTTATGGGAATAGAAAACCCGTCTTTCTCCCGAGGAGCGGCTGGTGGTTTTGAACCGCTGACTTAGCAGGCAGCAACCCTACTCTCTGTAACTCACTCTGCTGCCTCCACGGCTCCTCAGCTCCTTAAATTCAGAGGAGGAGCTGGCAAGGAAGGGCTTGCTTGGAGAAGCGGAGTACAGCAAATGCCCTGGGTGTGGGTGACTCCTGCCCAGTGCTCAGACCCTCTAAGTTTGTTTTCCTGAGGTGGGTGGGGTGGCCCTGTGCTCCACATTCTCCTGTGAGCACCAGCCAGGTGTTTGGGAGAAGGTGGATCAGGCAAGGTTTTTTTGCAGCTTGACCTAACCACGAGCTGTTTTTCTTTGTCCCGTGTACTAAGCAAACATCTGTGGAATGCTAGCTGGACGTGGTGCCCGGCGAGAAGAGAGGTAGCCTAGCTCAGCTGACTGTGAGGCTCAGCTGACTGGGACACTTCGACCCTTGTGAACCTTGTGAATCTCACGATGTGGGGGGGGAGGTGGGCATGTATGCAGATAGCTAATTCACTAAAGCTGAGTAACACGGCAGGAAGCTGTGTGGTAGGAGTGTTTAATGAAGGCACTCGGGAAGGCTGTGTAGAAAAGGGGGCATTGGAAAGATTTGCGTTCCACTCCGGGTAGAAGCTGGGGTTGGGAGCCCCGATGGCATCGTGGGTATATGTCGGCCTGTTAGTTGCCAGGTTAGCAGTTTGGATCCACCAGGCGCTCCTCAGGAGAAACGGCTTCCTGCTCCTAGAAACAGTGACAGCCTCAGAAACCCCCAGGGGCAGGTGTGCCCCGTGCTGTAGGGTCTCTGAGTCAGCATGGCCTTGATGGCAGGGAGTGTGGTGTGGAGGAGCTGGGGGCGGGGTGAGGAGGGAGATGTGGCAGGAAGAAAGGACTGCACAGACAAAGACGCACGGACACCAGACTCCCTGTCATCAAGGCCATGCCGGCTCAGCAACCCTGTCGGGCAGCGCAGACCTGCCCCCGTGGGTGTCTGAGACTGTGCATCTTCATGGGGGCTGGCAGCCTCATCTTTCTCCCTCAGAGCAGCTGGTGGGTTTGAACCGATGACCTGTGGTCAGCAGCCTAACGAGTAACCCAGGGTGCCCCCAGAGCTCCTGCGGTGCCCTGGTAGTGCTGTTCGTTAAGCACTCTGTGGGTGAGATCAGTGGTTCAAACCCACCAGCTGCTCCTCGGTGAAAGATGAGGCTCTCTGCTGACGAAAAGATGTACCGCCTCAAAAACCAGTCCAGGGTCACTGTGAGTCACATGGATCTGGTTGGCTGGCTCCATCAAGAGCCCTGGTGGTGTAGTGGGGATGAGCTCAGCTGTTATCCACAATGCGAAATTTCAAGGGTTTGATACCACCTGCTACAACAAGGGAGAAAGAGGAGGCTGCCTCCTCCTGTAAAGAGTTACAGTAAAGGAGATGCACTGGGGGCCGTTGTCTTTGGGGTCCCGTGGTGAGTCGGCCTCGGCTCGATGGCAGCGAGTTTGTATTTTGTGAGCCGCATGGCAGCGGGTTTGGGGTTTTCGGGAAGCTGGAGTTTGGGCGGGTTGGGTGGGGGGATGGCAGCACAGTGAGCAGTCTTCGTAGAGCAGGGTTGGTGTCAGTCCGGGTAGACTAGAGAAACAAATCCAGGGAGACTCTCATGTGTATAAGAAAGAACTTTATATACAAGAGCAATTGAATTTTGAGAAAACAGCCCAGCCCAACCCAGATCAAGTCTGTAAGTCCAATGTTAGCCCATATGTCTGTCTATAAAGTCCTCTTCAGGCTCACAAACACATGCAATGATGCCGACTGCAGGAAGATCTCAGGCCAGTGGGTGGGAAGTCTTGCAGATCCAGAGGCATTGTAAGCATCTCAGCGCTGGCAAGGGGTCTCCATGTGGCTTCTCCAGGTCCAGGGTTCTCCCTGTGGCTTCTCCTCAGGGATGAGAGTCTTGAGTCTTGTCAGTAGAGGGTCTCCAAGGGAGCGAATTGAGAGGGTGGGGACCCTCATTGGCTGTGACCCGATTGACAGACTTCACTCTTTATCCTCTCAAATTCCAAACTGACACCAGGTGATGTAACTACCACAGTTGGATTACCCCGTGGGGAGGTCTGGGCTTGGGGGTGGGGCCGGCGGGATGGATACAGTTGAGACAGGAGCCGGGTGAGCAGTGACCCCGTCTTCTGGTCCCCTCCCCAGATATCACGCTGTGGGGCATGGAGCTGGGCCTCCTGACCATGCGCCGTGGGGAGCTGGCCAGGTTTCTGTTCAAGCCGACCTACGCCTACGGGGTGCTGGGCTGCCCACCCCTGATCCCCCCGAACACCACCGTCCTCTTCGAGATTGAGCTGCTCGACTTCCTGGACTCGGCCGAGGCCGACATGTTCTTTGCCCTCACAGCCGTAAGTCCCGGCCCCGAGGGCTGCCCTCTGGTGCCACGGCAAGTGAAGGATGCTGCTGCCCAGAGCCAGTGTCAGTGAGGTGGTCACCACTTAGCGCACCCTGTAGGGCCCGGCGGCACTGCCCCCTGTGGGCTCTGAGAGGGTTATTCTTCATGAGAGTGGAAAGCCCTGTCTCCCGAGGAGCGGCGGGTGATTTCGAACTACTGACCTTGCAGTTAGCTGCCCAGTGCACAGCCACTACATCCCCAGGGCTCCCTGGGAATGACCCAGGAGGGGCGGCAGCCGATGCCCACACTGCATTCTGGAGCACAGGCACGGGCGTGTCTCATCTCCAGGGACACCCGGAGAAGAGAGAGGGGCCCAAGGTTCTCGAGTAACTGGGGTGAGGGGCAGCTTTTCTCCCTGAATGGAGACCCGGTTGCCTCTGCATCGGTGATTGGCGCTGCTTGGCTCTCCGTCCCCGTCCTGTGGAGCCCCTGTGCCTGAGAGCAGAGGGTGTGCAGTGGGGGTGGGGGGAGGGCTTGAACTGTCAGCCTTGTGGTTCGTGCCCTAGTGTTTAAGCACTCTGCCACCAGGGCTCCTGAGACGTGGTGACTGTAGAGAGGAGCTGGCTGTGTCTGGTGGCTGAGAGGGCTGTGGCGTTTCAGCCCAGAAAGGGCAGCGGAAGCACTACCCCGGGACTCCAAGACTCCCCAGCTTCCTCCGGGCTCCCGGCATGCCTGCTCTCCCCTCGCTCCCGTGGGAACCCAGCAGCTACCCGGCTACTGCCGTGTGGTGAGAGGCCGTTTGAGGTGCTCCAGCCAGCAGACAGACTGTCTGTCCAGGTGCCAAACAGCTGAGTGCAAAAGTCTCCACAGGACCCGAGTCAACCCCAGAGAAGGCCCTCAGCGCTGGGGGTGTGAAAAGCCAGGTCCGCCAGGCCTCACCCCAGTTCCTCACCCGTCTCTGCGAGACTCAGAATGGGAGCTGCTCCTGACACTTGGCGGGCAGCGGGTTGTCACTGAGCGATACAGAAACCAAGCCCGAGGAGCCACTGCTGTCCAGTGGGTCGGGCCCATGGTAGTAACCCTCCCGGTTTCCAAGGCCGCCAGCCGTCATAGTGGGGCGGACTGCCTCCTCCTCCCCCCACGGGGCAGCTGGTCAGTTCAGACTGCTGGCCTTGCCTGCGGCCGCCCAGCCCATAGCCCAGCTCCTTCCATAACAGTCCAAAACCAGAGCAGTGTGTAGCTCTGCGGTTCTCAGCCTGTGGGTCGTGACCCCTCTGGGGGTTGAACGACCCTTTCACAGGGGTCGCCTAAGACCTTCAGAAAACACATATTTCCCATGGTCTTAGGAACCGAGACACGGCTCCTCTGCCCGTCTCCAGGCGGGTTTCCCCACATGCAGATCTGCCCACATGCGAGTGCCGGGCCTGAAGACCCTGCTACACCGTGCTTCCAGACAAAGTTTCATCTATTTCTCGTTAGAAATATTTCCCAATGTAGAATGACATATTTTTTTTGTGATTCATCACTATGCTTTATGTTCCATTTGTAACAATGAAAAGACACCTTGCCTATCAGATGTTTACTTGACGATTCACAACAGTAGCAAAGTTACAGTAACGAAGTAGCAAAGTCATGTTATGGTTGGGGGTCACCACATGAGGAACTGCACGAAAGGGTCAAGGCATGAGGAAGGTGGAGACCGCTGGTCTAGCTGGAGGAAGAGACGTCAGCTCTGTGACTAACGTGCTCAGTAAAATCCCAGTGAGGATCGCAGCTGTGGTGGGTTTGGGCTGGTTGTTAGGGG